TCTTTCAAAATGAAATCATTTAAAGTTGAAAAGAAGAATGCTATGTGCCAAATGCAAGCTAGTGATACTTTTAAATTATTATATGATAATGTATTAAATATTGAACCAAAAAGGAGGCAGTGTCCACCCTATGTACACAGAAGATCGTATTCCCCCCCATGTTATGTAATTAACAGAAAGTATCTTCCTATTCAACATCAGAATAAGAATTGTGAGTTCCAATTTAGCCTAATTACTTTGGGGCTCTTTGAAGTTTAATTGCTATCTTCAGTCTTTGGTTTCTGGAATAGCATGCATGAAGCCTTCCTAATCCTACAAATACAGTGTCATGGATGTTAGTGTTGATTCACAAGACAATAAATGAGTTATTGGTGTTTAATATAACATGGATCAGTACTGCTTACACAGATTATGTTTTTTATTTAATCAGGGTATCTTTGGTACAATTTTCTACCATTTAAATTTATTGCATAGTTCAGAGGTTGTACTAAAATATGTGAAAGCTATAAATGTTCGAGTTCCATAGAAATATAAGGCATGATGATGATGCTGAAATTAGGAGCTAGAGTAAATATTCCAGCAGTAACACTCTGAGAGTGACTTAGAGCTGTTATTCCTATTTCACACTCAAAATGCTCTATGAGTTGCTAATAATCTGTCTATGCTTTCTCTTGGCTGAGAGACACTATCATGTCTTCATTAGATCAACTGTGTGGTCACCTCTTTTTACAGGAATCCAAATCCTAGAATTCTGGGTTGGGTTTGAATTTCAAAACTCCTGCTGAAGGTACATAACTGATCACTTTATCTCAATATTATTTACAAATCAGACCAAAGTCAAAGTCAGTCTCCTATAAAAAAGTACCCCACACTTCCTGCTTAGTGGGAGTATAACCATATGTTGATATAACAGAGGGAGAGGGAGATAGTAGACAAATGATCATTTTATTCCATTAATTAATTGCAAGAAGAGACAGCCACACCCAATCTCCTCACACATACAGTGATATAACATGGCAAGCACAAACAGTAATCTCTTCAGGGACCTGAAGTGGTAAATAGAGCAGTTAAGAAATATCACAGAATTCCAAGCTGGCTGAGTTCTGTGTTTCCATTATATTTTGGAATTACTCTTTCTTCAGTTAGCTGTGAACTGATATATAAAGTATTAATCAGCAATCAAGACCATGTAAGCCTTCCCCGTCTTGTCAAATGGCTTTTCTTATGTACTTAATCAGTTTTCTGTCTTCCAACATATCAGTAACCTACCTCTTCATGCTTGACATTTTTAGCCAGCACTCTGCTCTCATAATTTGGGAAGTTTAGAATGTATGTATGCTACATTCTGTATGTATGCTACACTCTACATGTATCCATTTGCAATCTTTAGTATGATCCAGATAATCTAGCCTGGCTGTCTCAAATTAATTCTCATTTTCACCTATTTTAATTAAACTAGTTGATCACAGTCTAAAAAAATGTATAAAAATTATACCATGTAGGAAATGAAAAAGTTAAATTTTCTGGAAGGAGTAATATAATACAAATAAACCAAAGAAAAGCTTGAATTAATTCTACTTTTAGCTATCACTCTTCTATTGTGCACTGTATTCTTTATGGTTTTGTTGCTTATGTGCTTATTTTGTGTCTGTCTCTAGGCTCATGGGCAGAGGGCACACTCTTCAAATAGGCAGCCTACAGAATACCAGCAGAGCCGTACAAGTAGTAATTATCTGATAGCCCACTTTCACACTTACAGTGAGAACATGCCTAAACAGCTCCTTATATTGGGCTTATAATAAGATTGCATTGATAATTATCTACTAAACTTTTCATTGAAAAAATAACTCAGGTAAACCCTACATTTCCACTTTAAAATTCTATTTTATAAATTGCTGCTTACGAAATTTGGTGAACAATACCTCAGTGGCCAGAATTAATCGGCATTCAACAAGTGAGCAATTATACCTCTTCTAAACCCATACAATCAGCAGTAACATAATATCCAAGGGGGGAAGCATAAAGCATGTTTGGATGTTATAATGAATTTGATTACAACACCACCAAATTAAACATATTTTCATTTTGATATAAAGTAGCAGTGGGAGGCTTGACTAGATAACTTGCTTTTACTTTATTAAATTCCTGATGTTATAGTCAGCTGAATTGAGTGTTCCCTGGGAGGGAATTAAGAACATTTGGGCCTTGTCTTTATATTCAAAAGAGTGTGACTTCAACTCCTGGTTTACAATCCACTTTAGTGGGTCTGCCAGAGGGAGATTAAAGAGAACTCTGGAGTGTTCCTAGGCTGTTTATTGCCTTCTTTATGTGGGAGGGTTTTCCTCCTACCTTCAGGCCATGAAATATCACACTGTGCCATTAAGCAAAGAAAGACTTGACTAGTCCCCTCAGGACTATCTTCGTCCTTCAGGACAAATGTCATACAAATATGGCAATTGTCCACATCCCTAGCTAAACCTCTCATAGCCACTATGTCCTTTGGGCCAACACATATTTATGGATGTTTGACTCCACTTTAACAATACTAATTAGTTAAATGTTTATTTAGCAGCCTAGAAGAGTTAATACAGCTCCTACAGCTTCAGAAAAACACTCAGATTTACATTTTGGTAATAAAAGGAGAGGCAGTTCTGAAACCTTGGAAGCCTTATTCATAAGAGGATGTTAGTGAAAGGAGGGGAGAAAAGCACCTAAATAAAAGTGAGCTGGCTGGAATAGTCCTCAGTTTACATTATTAATAGCAAGCACATTGCTGTCCTCAGGAGAGTCTGAAGGGAGCTTATACGCACCACACTGATGGTCCTGTAACCTGGTCTTCTCAGCTTCCTTTTTCCTCACACTGTGGTGTTCAAACTTATTTTTGTACCCAGCTTATTGGATTTCATTTCATCACAGCTGGCACATTTTGCCTGGCTGCAGCCCTGTTACACAGCCAGCCACCCATTATACTATTGCTGGAATGTGAATCTCTTTGTCTGTCCTTAAGGTTTTCATTTTCTCTAAGATCATGCTCTCTTGTGACAGCCTCACAAGGACATTCATGGCAGTTGAGAAGGGAATTCTGAGAAGGAGAGCCACCATCAATCAGAGCCAAGGCACCTATGTGGCCTGGCTTCCTCCCCAAGAGGAGAATAGCATTTTCCTCAGTGTGTTCCCTCTCCATAAAATGCCAATGTTTTTCATGAGACCAAATTGTACCTAGACCCTTTCACATTCTATCATGATCAGGAACCATGGTTAAGGTCACTGGTTAAATTAATTGTGATATGGGAGAAATATAATTCCACCCTGTTCCATGTTAAATGTGCCAACTTTATAATCTCACACCATGGAGGAATGAAGTTGAAAACCAAAGGAGGAAGGTAGGAGAGTTTTACTGGAAATAAGGAGAAGAAGAACAGCTCTTGGATTTCCTGGAGAGATTCCTAATGTAGGCCACTGAGGCCATTTGTTGAAGGTAATTTATATAGCAAAATCACAATGTAGGTACAACATGGGTCAAACTACAATCACCATTAGGATTACAAGTATAGCCACTTAACTACTATTGATCCAATAGGGAAATGAGTCACATAGCAAGGATACATGGAGAGATTAAAAGGAATTCTTGGAAAGGGAGGGGAGTATGAGACCAGGTGTTCTAGTCGCCCACCTATGTGCCTAATGCCTCCTTTGGCCACTGGACCAGGTGGTGCTAATCACAGTATAATCTCAAGTTGCTATTTACCTCTAAGAAGGCATGAGGGCTTTGCTATTGCTTCTCCCTCTTGAGGCCTGACTCTATTTAGGTTTGCCTCCAGCCACAATTTTGATTTCTATATTTTATTGTGCTAAATTCCTTGAGGGCCCAATCCCTCTCTAGATGTATATTAATTTACATCTAATGTAGCTGCCTATAATATTCCCCCTCTGAAGGGGTTTCCCTAACTGCAGTTAGGGCAAAGTTTCAATCTAGCTGCTTCAATCTGAGGGGTCACTGTAAGGAAGGCCACAGTCTATGCCCTTCTCCAGAGAGCTAATTTAAGGGGCCATAGACAGAAGTCATATTGGGATATAGCAGTTGTGAACTCTCTTTAGAAAGTCTATCTTGTGGATTCCAGAAGTCCAGCACATTTATCATTGGTTCCATCTGCATGATCTCTTGGAGTTTGACAGCTTCTAAGCAAGAATAAGCAATTTTGTCAAGAGATTAAGCACGTATGACCAAAGTATGAGCACCAGAATGGAAACAGATTGGGGAAGGAGCAAAGTCCAGACACTGTTTTTAAGGGATTGAAATAGGGATTGTAACTAGCTGGGGTTCTAGACTTGTCTGCTCATGGTGGTTATATATAAGTATGGTAGGGTTTTTTTGTTTAAGAGCTTTTTATTTCAGCTGATGTGACTTATCTAAAGACAACATGTTTTATTTATTAGTGCACAAGTTCCTTTAGTTTTAGCTGTACAAAAATTGAGAGCTCTGTAGTTTGAAAGACAATTTTAGCTCAGGAATTTGAAGACTTGCTGAGATTTTATAGCTTTTTAGGCTCATTTAACAATACCAGTGCTCAGCTACAGGTGTAACTGGAAACTACGAACAGAGGCCAGTGCAGCAATTGGAGCCTTCTTTCTATATCTAAGTCTATATTATCATTACTCTTCAATATACCTTTTTCGGTATACTTTTCTGTGTGGGATTTAAAACCAAATTAAACTGATATCCATGTTAATAAAAATTAATCTCTTGCTATATATTTCACAGTTTTTAAGGCTTCTCAGAATTTACTTTTGGGACCATGTACAATAAGACTATGTACAGTTTCTCTATCAGTGTCAGCTGCCAGGATATGTTATGGTCTTGTTTAACCACATGGTTTCACATGGGATCATGGAAGACATTTTCCTCATCGGTGGCCCTCCTTTTTAGAACATTGCACTTAGATTGACTTCTGTCTTTTGTGGTCCAGCAATCTCCCTGCTCAGGAGTTTGAGTCACTCACCACAGTTGTAGAATCTTATAGAAAAGGTCCCCTCATTCTTAGGTCCTGGTTGACCATGAAGATCCACATCCAAATCATTGGCAGTCTTCTTAGTCTAGTGATCATTTTTAGATTTGCTTTCCAAACCTCAGTTGTTGAACACCTAGGAGATAAGTTGCACAGTGTTGCATTTGGAGCAGTAGATTTAACTATCATAGTCTTTATCTGAATATCAAGCTCCTTGAAATATATAGTATGAACTGTTATTTCTTTGTCAATCAAGTTTGTCTTAGAAGTTGAATTTTTGAAGATGTAAACAGATAACAATTATAAAGTTTTACAGAGAAAATTTGAGATTGAGGGCAACATTGCTTTTTAGCATGATAATCATGTTGACATTATTATATTACAACCATTAGGTTTTGTTATTATCTCTGACAAAAATTTAAGTCTCCATCTTAGTATAAAATAACATTTTAGTCAGTTACCTTAATTATATAATATTAAAGGACATAAATTTTTATCTAAATTTGTTATCTTTTAATAGTGTCATTTAAGTAGAATGCATTTGTTTATAGGTGTACTTTGTAGGTTGTTAATGTAGAACCTTGAATTTTTACAGTGACATTGTCCAGACTGAATAGTATTTTGGTACCTATAACTGTTATAACACAATTACATAGCAATCACATAACCAGAAGGCTTTAAAACTTATCCTCATCCAGCTGGCTATTTCATGTTGGAATGGCATACACATTTTATCACAAATAAGTAAGGGAAAGCCAGATCCTTGAGCCTAAAAAAAATGTTATCATCATAAACAACTTTTAGCAGGAAGTCACAAGAATAATAAAATGATTTTTAGTTTTGCAAATTTAAAGATCTGTGCACTTGAGAACCAAAAATACATCATTTAATATACTATGAGTTTAGCAATAATTAGTAATACAGCTACACAGAAATGTTTATATAATTAGTTTTTATACTCAAGATAAATTTTAGAATCCTTTAATAGGTTTTACAGGGTGTAACTATAATGATAAGAATTAAGAACATCTTTATAGTTCTTATAAATTTAGGAAACACAGATGACCACAAATAGATATATTACCCAATATACAAGTATATCTCAAGAATACAATAACAAAATGCTTGTTTACTCAAACCCAATAGATATAGACTAAATTTTAAATGGCAGAAACAGATTTAAAGAGATGTCAAATTTTGACCATTTTATTTGTTTAAGGTCCATATTGTATAGAAAAGAGCACTTAATACTATAAACTTAACTTTAAAGCTTAGACTAATAGCATAGCTTATTTTTAGAAGTACACATACATACACATTTCCATATATGTTATATCATAAACTAAGATAATAGTTATTTGATGATCATAAACTGATTATTGAAAACATGTTAAAGATTAATAAAGACTAACTCTTAAAGTTCATTTTATAGTACCAAAAAGCTCAAATATTGGTAACAATGGAAAATACAAAAAATTATTTTAGTAAAATATAGAATTGGCTTTTAATCTGGTTTCTAAACTTAATCAACAGCATCTTTATATCTTAAGAAATCCATATTGTTTTAGACATAGAAAACTTAACTTTTAATTATAGCCCCAATATTACTTTAGATAGATGACTTATCATAACATTTAAAACTTTTTAAAACCATAGATACATAGATGTACATATATATATATTTTTTTTAATCTATATTTTAAGATATACAGTGATGCCTTGGTTCATGAGCTTAATTTGGTTCCTGATTTTGGAAAATATAGCCTGTTTGTGTGGGGAAGATGGCTGTGTTTGTCATCCAATGTAAAGTTTACAAACAAAAACAAAATTGTTCACAAACAAAAGCATTTATTAACTGAAGTATCACTGTACTTGCAGTTCATATAACTTAACAGTACACTAATTTAAATTAGTAAGAGTAAAGCTACTTTTAAATTTAATGACATATTTCCAGCCAAATTGTTAGATAACCAAGATAATATTAAAAATTAGTTTTATAAATGTAATATCTGTATTGTCTTTGTACAATAATTTAAGAATTTTCCTCAAAGATAGATATATGTATCTTATAAATATATATCTTAAAATATATGTATGCATATTAAAACATATATATCTTAAAATATATATACTATGGTGCCTCAGTTCACAAACACTTCTGTTTGCAAATAATTTAGTTTACAAACAAAACCATTTGGCAAAGTTTTTTTGTTTGATAACTTTGCATTGGGTGACAAACATGACCATGGCCATCTTTCCTGCACAAATATGAATGTGGCCATTTTTTCCAGAAATACGGAAGGGATTAAGTTCATGAAACAAGGTACAACTTTACACAAAAGTTAACATGCATATTAACTTAATATATAATCTTTATGTTATCAAAATTTAAGGCTTTTATTTATAAGTTCTATGTAAGCCTCAAGCCTATTCTGAAAACCAGTACAACTGGTTTCTTACAGGTATCCCAAAAAGAGTAAAAAAATAAAATAGAAAGGAAAAGAAATATTTGAGCTCAAAAAATATTTTTAAAATTGAGCACCTGCAGTTGTTTTAACTGGTTATTAAAAACAGATTAAGCAGACAGATGGACAAACACAACTTTTAAATCAGCATAAACTCTTAGGTGTATTGGCCAACCCTTTTACAGTTTTTAAATTTGTAACTATAAATAAACTAGTCAGAACTTTTTCTATAGGTCATCAATTAAAGGAAATCTCTTGTAATAACACCAAAAAGAATCAGAAGGACAAAGAGAGTAAAAGCTCTCTTACACTGTGAAATCAAGGCCTATTTTTAAGAAGGGACCTAGGCTGATGGTTTATCTTACTAGAATACAGAATTCTTGGAGCCCTCTGTTGTTTTGATAGCCACAGTTATTTGATAGCCACAATTATTTGATAGCCACAGCTGATAGCCAAACCTGCTGTTTTGATTGCCACATGTAACTGTTTCCTCTAAAGGAACAGACTGTTAAAAGTATAGTGTTGTAATTTAGACATTTTTGGCAACTATTTTATTTTTCTAGGAGGTGCTTGTGCCAGAGAGTCTACTAAGTATGAATTCCAAAAGGTGGAGAAAGAAGAAAGCCTGCCAAGGCTCCAGTTTGCCCTGCTGTAGATGTCTACCTACAACTGTTTATTCTCATTTTGAAAAGAAAGATGGGAATAGAAGACATCTTTGTCTATCCCTGCTTGCTCTGTACACATTTACCTACAGTATCCCTTAGGTTTGACCCCATTCAGTACCCACAGCAGTGAACTGCAAGAACTCAATGAAGTGGCTAGAATTGGGCTATACACTCTGCCAGTATTCGTCCGTGCTTTCTTGTGATCCTGTGATTCCTATTCCTTAATATCTGTTTCTGCTTGAAACTGTAATTAAACTCACAAGGGTCCTTAGGAATATTTTCTGTTTTACCAATGAAAATATCAGTGCTTTAATGGCCTTCTCTCAAACTACTCAGTCTGCCCTATCTGAGTGGCATTCTTGATGGGAGGGAGAGGTGAAAGGAGTGAAGATACTCCCTAGTTTTTAGTTCTACCCCATCCTAAGGGCAGACAGACAAGTTGGAATTAAAACTTTTCATTTACTCAATGAGAGTTTGAGGGTTAAATCTAGACCAGTTTTTAAGAATATGGCCCAGGAGCACCCGTGGAGCCACACGGGTAGAGCAGTGCAGGGAGCAGAGTGCCCAGGACTGACAGAGCCCAGCTCTGTCCAGCTGGCTAAGCCCACTTGTGACCAACGGCTGGTAAGGACCCCCCTGGGCATGCCCACCAGCCACCCATGGAGCCGCACAGGTGCCTACAACAACAGTGCCAGGCCCCCTGCCCCCCCACCCCCGCCTCTGGCCTCTTGGCTGTGCAGCTACCTGGTTCCACACTACAGAGGCACAGGGGGACATAAAGGCCTGAACTGCAGAAGTGAACAAGAGAGGGCCTCTCTCAGGCTCTCTGATAATAACTGAAGCCCACTGGAAAAGTGAAGAGAATCTCTGCAGTAAAGACACACCAGACAACTGTAATTGGTAAGTTAGAGGGATCATCACCTCCCATCAGAACCTGGACTATCTCCACGGAAAAGGCAGCTGGAACCTGCAAAAGAACCTTGCACAGTTCAACCCTGCAGGAGGACAGGGAGCTCAACTTGGGATTTGCAGCCAGAAATCTGCCTGAATCTCATGGGTCTGTGACTGGCTTGCTGAGACTCATTGACTTATAAGTGTACACTTCTGCCCACGTTGTCTATTGTGACATGAGACATAGCCTGTAGGAGTCCCTTCATTTTCATTTTTTATTTGTTATTTTCAAAATTATCACTATTTTTTTTTGCTCTTACTTTTAATTTTTTTCTTCTTTTTCTACTCTTTTA